GCGAAAAAGGGGAGGGGTTGACCTTTTGGGGAATTTCTTTTTTTTTTTTGGTTTTTTTTTTTTTTTTTTTTATTCTCCAAGAGTGTTTCTTTAATGATTGTCCTGTATTTCATTCTCCCATTAACTCTGGCCTGCCTGCCTCCCATCCGTTCTGAAGAAGAGCCTCTCCACAGCATGATACTGCCAACACCATGTTTCATCCTTAAGGTAGCAAAATAATCTGCATAGTTACCTTTTTACCACATGTAATAATTTGTATGGTAAATATGTGTTATATGTTGCTGCTACCTGAGCTGAAAGGCCAGACAAGTGTAACTTAAAAAGAAGTAGCTCCACAGTAAAACTATTGTAGCTGCACAGACTCACAGCTCTCTTGGAAGAATTTGTTCACTGGACAATTATTAGTTGTGTACTCCTCGGATATGTCCTATGTGGACGATTAATTTAAATACGATTACTAAATGTTAGGAATTGCCACACGTTATGTAAGGGGCACAAACATGTGGAACATCAAAAATTAAAATTGTAGGCCTGCATGCAAAATGGTATGTGACATGGAAAATCAGCACCCGTAACACACCATGCCCACTGAGAAACTGCTAATTGCAGGATCATGTTGTGAGGACGCTTTCCTTCAGCAGGACAACAAGCAGGACAGCTGAAAGGAAGATGGATGGAGCTAAATACAGGGCAAAAACCCCCCTTGAAAAATCATGTAAAGAGAAGCTATCCATTAAATCTGACTGAGCTTCAGCTATTATGAATAGAAGGTTGAGCAAACATAAAAACATGAGGGTTTTGCACTGTTAATTGTCATGCAAAGTGGTTCTGCAAACTCTTTAAGTAGGGGACTGAATGTGCAATTTAAAAGTGCACATCACACTTTAAATTGTTTTAAAAACTTTTAAAATCATCTGCACTTTTGCTTCCACATATCAACGAGCATTTTCTGTGGATCCATCAAAAGTTCTAGTTGTAAATTATGTGTTTGTGTTCGTTACATGAGAGAATATAAAAAGGTGCAAGGAACACTTTTGATAGCATTTTACTGCCTGTGCCTGTAGCCAGCTCTGCCTCAGATGATTGCTCCGGCATCTTTCTGTGTGATTTGTGCCTTGTCTACATTAGATATGTTTTTTTTGTTTTTTTTTTTTTTTTCCTTTTGGAAGTTGTCTTCCCTGCAAGTTCTCACATTGTCACTGTTTCTGGGCTGCTTCCGGAGGATTCTTCACTCTGGTCTTAACATTATGCACTTTAGCCAAACCGAACCTGATTTCTCACACAAATGTGTGCATTTAAAATGAATGCACCGACAATGTTCCACATGGCTCAGTGCCGTCTCCAGCCCTCCTCTGTTCTCCCCGACTCTCTACCCTCCCTCTCCTCCATCTCTTCCCTGTGGGAAGATCTGACTCTGAGAGCAGACAGTCTGCAGCCCTGAATAAATGTATAAGAGGGAGAAGGGGAAGGGAGGGTGCATTAGCAGGCAGAGGGAGCGCAGGGGCGGGAGAGTGTTGGAGGATACATACATGCCGAGTGTACAGAGAAGAGCCAGATACACATTAGATAGAGAGGAGGGAAGCAGTTCAGCTTGTATAGGACCAAGAACGGAGCGATTCAGCTTCCTTCAGCTGTCTCTCCCTCTCTGCACAAACACATGCTCATACACACTCCCAGTTTTTCCCCCTGACACACACACATACACACACGCGCACAGGAACAATTGCTTTAGGGTATACCAGTCGGCTCTGGCAGTCCTCTCCTTTGTTGTTTTTGCTATTGGTTGGTCTCAGCGGCAGCACGGCGTGCGCCTCTATCACCGGGTGGGTGAATGTGTGTGTGGAGTCTGGAAGGCAGTGTGTGAAGGATGCCACTGGCTGTACCCGGGTAAGTCAGCTCCTTCCTTCCTCTCTCTGTCTATTTCTTTTTGTTCTTTCTGATCTGCAGCCTCTCCATCTCGCCTGGGATTCTCGCCTCTCTCCTCCTGCCGTGTTCATCCTCTATGCACGGTTCTTCTCTCTCTCCCTCCCTCCATCTCTATCTCTCCATGCGAGCTCCCTCTTTCTCTCAGTCTCCTCCGGACTGTGCTCCCTCTCCAGGCTGCGCCTCATTGGTGTGTCCTGATTCCTGTTTTTTTTTTTTTTTTTTTTTTCTTTTCTTTTCCTCCCCATTAGGCTCCAGGCCCATTGGTCGTCTGCCTCCCAACCATTATCTCCACTCCTCCGCCCCTCTGTCATCCTTTCTGCCTCCGCTCACACTCTCTCCTTCTCTCTCTCTCTCTCCCGCTCTCTCTCTCTCGCTCTCTCTCCTTCCCACAGTCATCTCTCAAGTCGTGAAAAATGATTTGCATGCAAGAAGAGAGCAGAACTTTGCAGTGAGCTCAGTAAGGGAATTCATTGGGAGTGAAATAAAGGGAAATAATAGCAGAGGAGGAGGAAAAGTTTAAAGACACGACTGCAGTTGGTAGGTACCTTCTGCTTTGCTCATGGCATTTTGCGTCTTTTCCATTGTTGTTGGCTGATACTGGACTCCGCTTGCCACACTTTGTCCTTCCATGTGCTGTCTGTTAGTCTGGGATTGTTGTATGTGGTTTCTTGTAGTTCATGGTGACAGTCAGCTCCTGATATTTTACAGGTGATTTGTGCTCTAAAAGTAGAGAATGTCTTCTTCAATCTATTGCAGTCAAATTCTGATTATACTAGTGCTAATTTAAAGAGAAGTTCTAGAAGTTTTTCTTCTTCTGGTGCGGGTAATTCTGGCAATCCAAACTTAGAATGAGCTTTTCTTGTCATCAAGCTCTTAAAATTCTAAGAACTAATAAAATACCAACATACAAATGTTTCTGTTTTAGAACATTTGATTATTTAAAATTGTGCAAATTCCTTAAGTTTTCAGTCACTTTTAGTGCAAGCCTATGCATCTGAAGTGTTAGATAAACTAAACAGTCTATCTAACAAGGACAAGGAGGAAACTGTACAAAAAAAAATTGTTTAGATTAAACTATTTGCCTTCAAATAACGGCAAGCTCTGTGTTTGAGTTACATGGTTGGCGTAGCTCATGCACCAGTCCATTTTGTCTCTGTTTTGTGCTTGTTTTGGGAGTTAGACTTAAGGAAAGTACAGTGCAGATGTTGTGTGTGCTCCTGTGGGTGGTATTTACAGTACAGATGCAATGCAACTTGCCTCTTTTCTATCAGGACACATAACAATGCTTGAGCACAAAGTGCGTCCAACTAAGTCCTCCTCATGTCAACAAATGGCGTAGACAAGAGGTTGGAGACTTCTGGCGATACACAAAGAATTTCATCCTTTTTTTCATGGTTTTCAGTAATATTTTATCTGGAGTTTCGATTAAATTGTAGGGAAGACGCTTTGCGTGTTGAGGTAATGTTTTCACCACTGTTTCATCAGACTGTAACAATGATTGTTGGTGTGTTTAGCTCAGTTTCCCTCCATGTGTGCACAGAGACTGACATGAGCTGCTCGGCGGGATGTGAAGCCGTGTTCTCCGGGATCTTCTTAAAGATGCGAGAGGAAGGCGATGTCTTGCTTGTTATTGGGAATGCTCGTGTTTGTGCCACCGCAGTGCCTGATGTGCTATGCTGAGCTGAGCCAAGGACAGGCAGACAGCTGAATGTGATTAAATTATAGTGGGAAAGCACGCTACCTGGGTCTTACCAGGTCCATCGTCGCAGGAACTCCCTCCCTGCCGTTTCTGCTCATCTCTCTTTCTCTCCCTTGCTGTGGAATAACAGCAAACGGACCCAGCCCCTGTTAATCATAACAGTCTGGTTAGAAGCTGGAGCCAGGAGGAAAGTCGGTGCAAGATTGAACCGTTGGGTTATAAGATGCACTGTTCACTCTTACTGTGAGGAAAAGTGCCGAGTCCTTTAGCAGTAAAAAGCCTCCTGGGGATCCCCTTTATGCAACTGACAAGGATGGGTCAGATGATGAGGAGCATTATAAGTCTACTTGTCTGGCATGACTGAGCACTTACACTTAATGTGACTGTAAATACATGATAAAATAAAGCATGAGAGACTGTTCTTCAACAACATACATTTTCTGAATATTCTGAACCGCTGCTGCATGGATTCAGTGTTTATGAAGAAAAGTACATTTCCCTTTTCTTTAAACTGTAAATTACATTAAAAGTAAATGAAGGGGAAGCCACTGGGACACTTTTTCCTTTTTTTGTTTGATTAGCATCGGTTTGGTTGGAAGAAGACCATCATTTAAGATGGGTGTCATCCTCATTAGCGATGCGCCAATCAATCTGCCAGAGAATTGATTATCAGATTTGGCCGCTTTTCCCTCCCGAATGGACATCAGGTATATTTCTGAAAACTCTTTTTTTTTTTTTTTTTTTTTTCCCATGTTTGTTGAATGCACCAAAAACTGCAAACTCCCCCCGTTTCTGGTGGGAGCATCAACCAACAACATGTAGTTCAGGTAACTTTTTTTTTAGTTTATTGAAAACCTGAAATCAGTAAAGGTCAGGAAAAGTCAGATCGGTGGCTCTCTAATCCCCATACACTTTCTTTTCAATGATCATTGTGATGTAACATCTAATAGCTGACATATTTAAAATTGAAGAGACTAATGTACATATACCGTTTATTAGCTTTACAAAATAATTGCTGTAAAAGACAAACAAAATGTTATTAAGTCTGGAATAAACCTCAGATACAGTGGAAAACTTCCTAGTCTCTTAGAGAAAGACTAAGTGTACTAGACGCAGCTTCAGACTGTGCTTCTTTCAGCTCCACACCACTGAATCTCTCTAGTGCAGAGCTGATGATCATGGCTCCCTGCTGTGGGATGGCTTATATTCTACTTTACCCCTCTGTAGCTATTTTTCCTTTAAAATAAAGAATATTTGCAGAGGTTTAAATGCTCATTTTTGATTTTATGAGCTGTTTTGCGAAGGCCAGTAGGACCTGCTTGTCGTTACACCGACTTTGTAAATGTGCATGTGGAGATACTGAAGGGAATCAATGTGGTCTTCCAATCAGTCTCAGTGACATGGTCACGCTAGGGTGCAGAGGAGAATGATCTATTTGAGCAGACATATTGTCAATACTGACATCTACTCAGTGTAAGATGTAGCTGCTCCCGCGTCCTTCACACATACACTCCTGGTGCGCCTGCCAGTATACACATTATTAATTATGGTATATTCCTTAATCTGATCCAAGCTCTTGATTTGGATTGAACTAGAGGAAAAAACAAGAATTTGGTCACTTTGAAACCGAGTCTTTCCTTCCATTTTAATGATAAATAATAATGATTTAACTTAGGTGTGGGCCAGTATGAGATTCCTGTCAACGATGATATTGATAAAAAACACCACAGTTTTAAGATTTCAAATAAAAAAATAAACATTTAAAAATTAACCAACCATTATTCTACATGTGCTGATAAAACAACTTTTGATTTTTGCCATTAGAGCAATATCTGAAAGAGTGTTAATTTGATGTGAACCCAGACTTGTCCAAAAATATAAATTAAACACTTTTTTAAAAAATTCATTGATGTTTAAGTGCTTATTGTACAGAATGTTATGTTATTCTGTACCCTTTTGAAGACAAAGCCTATATTAGTTAGGTAATTAGTAAGGCTACCTGCTCCGGCACCTAGCCTGTAAGCTGGATGCTTAAAATAAGCTACTTCCACAACTTTTCTTTTAGTTCCCACAGCATTACGTTTTGTGTTTTTAATTATCAAAAATATTCCCAAACAGAAGCAAATAGTTGGGTTATTTATTTGGATAGCCAGTCTGCACTCTACTGCTGTGTTTTAAAAGATTGTTAACCTAATGAAAATGATTCCCACATTGTGACACTTTTATGAAAAGTTTCCAAGCAACTGAATTTGTTGTTCTTGTAAGTGCAGAAAACTCTCTGGAGCTTTCTTTAAGCTAGCAATGCACAGCAACGTGTTGGGGAGGGGAAACACTGCCTAACTCTTTAAACTGCGAACAAAAGAAAAATAAAAACCCTCTGTTTACCTCAGGATTTTCTTTGACATTTTATCAAAATAAGTTCCAACTAAAGGAACAATTTTAATCCGTGGTTGTTAACAACACTGGCATACCTTTATACCAGCTACCAGCCCATGTCTTGATTTAAGCGTTCATTTGTATACAATAAGTAATGGATTGACTGTTCTTTCTATGAGGGTATTCCTCCAGAAAAATCACAGGTGCCCCTGTCTCTCACACATACACACAAACACGCTCATTTTTGTTCTTTTCCTCGGGGAAAACGTGATCTATCTCCTGGCGGGCAGGCCAATTAAAAACCAATCAGGGTGCTTGGAGTGTGCTGGTAATGGGAAAGCCAAGGCAGTGAAGGAAGTGGGGCTGATTAATGGACATTTTCACCTTGTGGCATAACAGCCTCCCACAGGCATCCATCACCACAGGGGGACTACGCTGGCTACACACCTTTCCAGGAGCGTCTGACATGTTGTATAAGTTGCAGATGTCTGACTGTGTGATGATGAGCATAAAGTGCCCCGACGAGGCTGCAGTAGCTTTATATTAACCTGCCTTATCTGCAGGCCATGGAGATCATTTGATGTATGGCCGCATCCTGATTAATACCAGGCTGTGCAGCTCAGCTCCTTTTCATGGTTTGATAACATTCAGAGGATACGCTGTTCACCTGCTGTGGAAACCCAACCAGTTGAATACTAAGTATTTAGAGCAACAGAGAAATTCACAAATTTCTCGTGTTTTTATCATCTTTGAAGGAAAAAAATAAATAAAAACCTGTGTTTTCCACAGACGAGTATGTTTTTTTTTATATGTATATATTACAAGTAGACTCTAGATGCCCTTGCTGAGTTGGATCGAAAAGCGTTTGTGTCTTTCCCTTTGGAGC